GCGCGGCGCAGTGTGCTCGCGGCTGGAGGTGAAGGAGCAGGTCGTGTGCGTGTGAAGTAGCCGGTCATGTGCTAGAGAGACAGACAGACAGACAGACAGACACCCCGAGTGAGGGAGCGGACTTCGTGATCGGCCCAGGGGGCCGTCTCCCCGTCCTCCCCTACTCCCCTGGCCCTGCATTTCCCTGGCCCCTGGGGAGGTTGAAAAGGAGGCGATGAAGCCCGCTATAGGTTGTTCCTGGTGGGTAGGGTCCGGGCCAGGAGTGAGCCCCGAGGCGTCCGCACTCCACCCCGGGGATTCTGCTCTCCCCTCCTCCGCTCTCGCTCTCTCGGGCTGACCTACCGCTGACCCAGGACTTTGTAGGATCCCCTTGACCCGGGCGGAGGAGAGCCTTGGTCACCGGCGCTGGCGAGCGGCGCAGTGCCTGCCTTCCCAGCGGTGGCTGGCTGGGAGCCCTGGCTTGATGGGGCGATTCTGGGAGCTGTGGACAGCCGCTTAGAGGTGTGTTTTTTTCAGCCCAGGCGATGGCCGTATAGGACCATGGGCCTTGGATATCCAGAAAGGATACCTGCAAGGTGAATATGGGGTCACTGAAGGAGCCCATTAAGGCGGGGCAAACGGGGTATGGTACAGTTTTTAAAGGAGCCATGTGGATAAATGCAGGAAAGTTAACCAAAAGAAGCAAGGAGGGTATCTGGTAACTTTTCCAAATGCACCCCCTCTTTTTAAAAATCTTCACCAGAGGACATGCCTAGAGAGAGGAAGGGGGTGAGGGAGGGGAAGGGGGAGAGGGAAACATCTGTGTGAGAGAGAAACATCCATCCCGTGCCCTCCGCATGCTCCCTGAGCAGGGATCCCAGGCACTTGCCCTGACCAGTAATAGATGCAGGTGCATAGACGACGCCCAACCAACCCAACTGGGTCCAAATGTCCCATTTTTTTCAAGAATCTTCTTGTTTTCAAAACAAGATGGCTTGATCATCCAAAAAGATGTTTGGTGTTTTGCAGATGGTATCTTCAATACAGTTTCACAGATCTTAACTATTGCGAGCTTACTATGGATGGGCTTTGGGCCAGCTTTGGAACCCTAAGACAAGCGAAACACAACTTCTGCCCAGACACCCTCCCCAGGCAGAAGGGGAGGCTCTCCAGGGCCAATGTAACCAGAGAACATGGTGGTTAAGAGCTATGATGGTGGCGCTAATGAGCACAGTGGGATAGGAAGGTGGGTCAGAGGAAGAAGGTACAGAAAGAAAATACCCTCCCACATTGTTAAGCACTAAACTGCTGAGTCTCCAAAATACATAGATGATCACTTAGTTGACTAGACATTAGTTGTTTCTTATGTCTCTACATAGGTCTCTACAGGTGCACCTACAGGGAAGATAGCTTGCAGGGGAGGACTTAGCCCTCCAGGGAAATTGGAAAAGGTGAAGCTGGAAGGTTTTCCTTACGAATGAAAACAGGCACCCCACCTGTTGTGGCACATAGATGCCTTTGTGTGTGGTTGGTTGGACGCCTGGATTCCATGCGAGGAACTCTGGGATGAGATAACAAGGGACTGCTGGTATTAAAAGGGGTGTTTTGTGCTAGAGGTTGCTCAGAAAGGAGAGACCCTGGATGTGGAATCTTAGTGGCTAGGATATTTAAGAGGACTGAAGATTTAAAAAGTGGAAGCAAATGGGCAGATCAGAAAAGATACAGAAAGAAAAGTCTGAGTTTGGATACCATGGAATCATCTCTATATAAAAATCTTTAAAATATAGAACATCTCTGAACTGTTTCCCTGACAACTGACTAAAAGTTCCTTGATGGAGAAGGTTTGGCAGTATGTGCTAAACAATATTATGAATGATGTCAGACATGTTAGGCTAAGTAGGTGAGAGGTGGAACCAGTAGAATGTTCATTCTAAATTCTCTACTAAAACCATGACACCTTCCCTAATTCTACTTCAATGCCACCAGGACATTTTCATCCCATCCCATTTGTTGTGATAAAGCATTAGGCATTTTAAAATATATATATATATATTTTATTGATTTCAGAGAGGAAGGGAGAGGGAGAGAGAGAGAAACATCAACGATGAGAATCATTGATCAACTGCCTCCTGCACACCCCCTACTGGGGATGGAGCCCGTAACCCAGGCATGTGCCCTTGATCAGAATCGAATCTGGGACCCTTGAGTCTGCAGGTCAGCGCTCTATCCACTGAGCCAGACCAGCTAGGGCAAGCATTAGACATTTTAAAAACCCATAAATTCAGAGTTCTTTTTTGGTTTATTGAAGCAACTTAAAGAATTTATGTTAGCCAGAAAATCAAGAAGCCAGGGATAGCACATTCTATTAAACCAGCTAATTTTTCCATCACTGTCAGGTTCTTTGGGGAGCATACTGTTTTGTAGGTCTGTCTATTCTAAATCTCTGTGCTCTATTAATTCTGTTTAACACAAACTTGCCTAGTGATTATTATATGCCAAGAACTGTTTTAAAACACTTTACAAAGATTATCTGATTCAGTTCTCACAATAGTTCTATGAGACAGCTACTGCTATCTCTGTTTTACAGATTGGGAAACTGAAGTGCAGAGACGGTAATTGTCTAGACCAGCGGTCGCCAACCTTTTGGACCTGGTCCACGGACCACCAGTTGGCCAACCACTGGTCTAGACCAAGGTAGTAAGTGGCAGAGCCAGGATTTGAGACCAGGTAATCTGGCTCCCATACTTGTACACCTAACCATCCCTTTGAGCAGTCTCCCCCCAGGCCCCATTACATTCACTGGAGTATTTGCTGAAGGAGGCCTATGTTGGTAATGGAATTGGTAACTGCCCTATAAGCCATAGTTTGTTTTAATGTTAAAAGCAAGGAGTCTGTTCAAACATAAACTCCCATCTCTGAAATCTTTTTTTTTTTTTTAGAGGAACATAGAATGTGTTGCTAATGAGAAATTCCTGTCTAACACCTTTTAGATGAGGTTACTCACCTTTTCCCTCATCTAAAAGGCTGAGTAGAGCTTAACCCAAAGGAGCTGAGGAGGGCACTCAGTAGCAGCGTGGACCAATGGATCTGGTACGGAGGATTGAGATAGGCATGGAGATCCAATTCCAATCATGTGCTTTACACCCAGAATAGACTCCTAGAAGCTCTTCAGACAAGCAGGAAGTAGTTGTTTGCATGCTCATGAGTAGTGTGCTCAGGGCCTGAAGAGGTAAACTGAAAACACATGCCTCCCTAAAAGAAGTTCAGAACTTGTAGCTGGAGAGCCCAGGCACTTGAACTAGTACATGAACAAGACAATAAAATAAAATGCTCAGTTGAGACTCATGGTAATTAGACAAGAGGCCAGCCTATAATAAGGTGCTAATTGTGCTGGCCAGGTATCAAGGGCAAGAGGTAAAGACCTGCTGCTAGCCACCAGCCGGCAACAAAAACCTAGCTGTGGTTCATTAACGCAGTAAAAGCCGGGGACAGAAGAGCTTTGGGGCAGAGTCCGTGGTGCTGAAGTTGCGGAAAGCTCCTATAAGCCCAGCAGAGGAACAAACATTTTATTCACAGTCGTAAAAGAGATAGCCAAATTTTAGGTCTTTTTCCTTTGCATTTGCACAATTAGCCTAGCACCCCAGAAAAGCAGAAGTGTGAGCTACTGTTTTCTCTGTAGATCTGTTTCCTTTAAGTGCTCTGCATTTGTTTTGCCTGTATTTTGTCTTAAAGAATATTCAATATAAGTAACCTGTCGTAACCTAGCCAGCAGGTCTGTGTCTGCCTTGCTGTTCTGGAAATTATAGCTTACGATCACATTGATAGAAAAATTGATAGGAATACATGGATAAAACTTATTCTCGTTTAG